CGGCGCGGCGGCCCCCGCCTCGACCCGACACGATTGCCGATATTTCCGGGCGACCGGAAATGACGAGCGGATCAATACCCCGATAAAGGCCCGGTAAATATAATCGCGCGACCCCGGCAAATAACGATCTCGCGATAATTCCCGGTACTGATGTCCCTCGCGGACGAGCCGGCGAGTAATTCATATCGCGCCGAGGCATCGATGAAGTCGGGGGAAATTTAGTTGTCGCTTTGCGGGAATTGTTATCGTTTTGTTGCGCCCCGGGTGGAGATACTGTTGCGTTCAATACGTGATCGCCGGTACGAATGATTTTGTTATTAACGCTGCTCAATTATTGCTTGGCGCTAGCGTATCGCTCTGAATGGAAGACAATGCGCGCGATATTATGTTAAACCGAGGCGTTGAGTTGCTATATTAATAGGTTCATTGTGTTCGTGTTGGCTACGGAGATTGATAATTCGTGCTATTTAATTACCTATTAGCCGGCGCACTTTTAGCGAGCCAAGCGAAATGCTGCACTTCGTAACTATTAATGTTCCCTCTGGTTTGTACTTGTAACAGCGGAGTACGCTTTCTATATTATTCAGCGGTTGATAATAACGAAGTTCTATGAAGGATGTCGAATAAATATGAAAAACCGGCCTCGGCGAAGAGGAACGCCGCGCTCCGACGCGGCGGCCGTGCAACGGTACGCCGACCGTATTTGTCCGTTCGTGCGTGCGGTTTCGCGTGAGAATCGAATTTTTGCGGAACGCGGAGATTAATCTTGCGGCGGCAAACAGGCCGTACGCACGCGACGCGATCATTCGATGGAAACACTTTCCATGGTCGCCTGAACTCTTCCCTCCCTAATGACCGGCAGAAATTGTAATTAACGTCTTTCCGCGGTATTATTCCGCCGCGTTCCGCATAATGCAGACGTTAAAAAATGAATATACAGCTTCAAGTGGTATTACAAAACAGGAACTGCCTTCGAGCGCATGCTAACCCTCTCCTAATCGCTTCGAGCTTGTTATTTCCCAATTACACTCATGTGAAGAGAACAAACTGAAAGTGAAACTCCGATAGCCACGACACGTCCGATCATTGCTAACCGTTTCTACTGAACATCTACTGAAACACGTTGCTACACAGAAATCGACCGTAGCTTTAGCAGTGGACTCTAAGAAGCACAAAGTAGTTGCGTGGCACGAATGTCAAGTGGTTGTCGTTACGGCTACGCACGAGTAATACTCGTCGTCTTAGCTGTGGGCAATGGGCAACCCTCGTAGCGGTAAGAATCATTCGTGCGTAAGATCTGATCCTTAAGTTCGTAGTTACTCGTTGGCCTATGGCATGCGCAAGTGTCGGTAGAAGCGAGGAAAAGGTTGAAGACTTATATATATAAGGAAGGGACAAAATTCCCCGAGACTCTCTCGAACCTCTGCCTTCGGAGAAGGTTCGAGGTTCCTTTAATTTATAACGACGTACGGAGTAACTCTAATTGAACAACATACTGTTCCGAGAGTCTTATCGAAACGCAATCGCTAATCAGAATCAGTCGCGTTAATCCCGTTAGAAAATCCATCGGGTTCGAACTTCGAAGCTCGTATATCTCCGTCTCTGTCCCGACGTTTCTTATCTCGCGAACGGTGCAGCTCCGCGGCGGTAAACAATGCCCGGAGCCGTTTCACGGGTCAAGGAGCCGCGAACCGGCCAGGTGAGCACGTGCTCGAGGAAGTCACGTTTTCGCACATGGGGCCAACACATTCATCATAAAAAGCTCGTTACGACACCACTTGTTGTCCGTGGCTCAAGCCTTTCGACGTGTCTGCCGAGCAAGGAGAGGCTCGCAGCCGCCCTGCCCCCTGCGCCTTTCCAACCCCCTTTGCAAATTGTGAATAAAATCGCCGCGGGCGGATCGCCGTATCGTCGCGTTCCATATCGCGCTGCGGTCCTAAACGGAATTTTTCCCGCTCGCCCGGCCGCGTTCCCATTTCCGCGGAAAAGCGGCGCGCTCCGATCGATCAGCGAGCCGACCCGACACGACCGGCCGGTCAATCAATCGACAAATATTTTTAATTCCCTTCCGCCGGCGAAATTCATTCGGCAAATTCGGGCAACGCGATTCCCCTGCCGCTCGATCTGCTTTGCATTCCGGAAGAGCTATTCCAACGATCATGGTCTCGCGTTCTACGATGGGTACCGTGACATCGCTCGTTTCGACGGGAATTTTTGTACGTCCCGTTAAACGCTAACGGACCGTGCCGTGTCTCTAAAGCGGCAAAGGCTGAAAAAATGTTCGACACGCGGAACGAAATGATTCGAGAACATGACCGATCCCGCGGGCGAAAAAGAACGAAAGGGACGAAAGGCTACGTTCTCTGAACACGGAATACATATGCAGTTCTTCTCTAGGAATCCGGCCAATTAGGAAGAAGGATGTAGCAGCGTTAAAAGCTTAAAAACTTTGGAGAGCCCGTATGAAGTTCCAGGTACGCTGGAAGAGTTAGCTACCATGCGGATTAACATCTCCTTCTCGCGGACTGCTTCAGACGCTATATTCTATGGCATCAAGTGTAATTATTCCGCAGAATGTGTGTATTAACTTTCCACTCGACCTAGCCAATCACGACTACCTTTACGTAGACGCGAAACTTGTATGCTTACTGCTCCATTGGTCTCCCGGGGTTACAGTAGAACGAAAATATGCCGGAACGTCTGTTTCTGGGTGTGTACATCGGCGGTAAAAAGACTTAGATTCGAAAGTAAACTTTCCCCATTCGGGAATAATGCAGGGATGTTTCGAAAAGCAACCGTGTTAAAAAGACCTTTTTACATTCCGAAAGCACCCCCAGGTGGTGCTAAGCACATAGAAGTCTGATACTCGCAAGGTAGCTAAACGCACAGTTCTCTTCAGTCGTTCACTTCTGTTAATAAAAGAGACGCAGGAAGTAATTCGAAAGATTCAATTTCGAAATACACCCCCAATGAAAATAAACCGATTGGTTCGATCTTCGCGTTCAATTATCTTCCACGCTTGAACAAACATTCCCCGGTTCGACGGGATTCGGTCGAAATATGCCAGCATTAAAAATCCGATTTCTCATCGGGGGGAGACGATTTGCGTTACCGTAGGGAAAAATAATCTCGCGGTGAATCCTAAGGGGTGGCGGAGCGTCGACGATGGCTGCATCGTTAACCCGACGATACAGACAATCCCTTTCTACTTCGATACGAAAATTCAATAGGGTACGGGCGACGGTGGCCTCGTTTCTGCTCGGCCTGGTCGTCGCCATCAAGTTCACCCCGCAAATAATTTTCTTCCCCGTTTCCTCCCTCTGTCTCCTATTTCTTCTTTTTTTTCTTTATTTCGTTGAATGAGTACCGATAGCTTTCGGCGCTCCGCCGGATATTCCAGCGACGGCGGCTGGGCGTGAAACGTCTCCAGCCCGGCGACATTTGAATAATTCAGGTTGGACCGTATTCCTTGGAAATGCCGGCGTCGCCGCGGTCCGCGTGGAAATCAGATTTTCGAAAACGCCGGAAATATTCCGGCGAGACGAGCCGGGGATTCGGCGCGTGATGCACGCCGTAGGAGCGGCACCGGCGAAGGATCGCCGGGAAATATCCAATTTTCGCCGCGGTAATTCAATCGCGGACCCCTGACCGCCGATTACTTTTACAATTAGGTATCTCGGCCGTGGCCCGATCCTCCTATATACCCCGACACGTACGGATAGAGTTTTAATTCGTTCGCAGCGATGCATGGAATAATGCGCGCCGTTCCATTCAGCCGTGCTATGCAGACGGCCGGAATAAATCGGCCGGATTCATACGTTATTCATTACGATTTTCACTTTGTACATGATTTCGCCGTTTGCCGTCTCGTGAACTGTGAACGGGCTGCTCTTTGGGCCGGCCTGGCTACTTCGTAACGTTGGCGCTTCCGTTTCTACCGTTTACTCGGTGTCTTGAACATTTTTACCGCATGTGATTCTTAAATGGTTAACACTAAACCTATCGGACGGGTCGAACTGACCCATTCCTGGTTTCTTCTTTATACAATTATAAAAGGATAACAGATCTTTCTCGAAGAGATTATTCAAGAAATTGATTTAGTAACACGTATACTGAATTATCAATCAAGTCTCGATGAATGCACTCTTGAAGTTGCTATAGAGGAATTTAAGTGAATTTAACTGCTCGGTAGGTGTAGTGTTAAAGAATGCAGCCTCTTCAAAGATCGATTGTTCAGAAACGGACCGAGGCAATCCTAATCAAGCGATACTCTTAAAATTCTTACGAGAATCATAGAAATCCACGCACCTGCATTTAGCTTCCGGCTGGATGGATCCTAACTAGCAACCTGCAACAGAGAAAGCAAGAGGAGAGGGTAAATATACATTTGGCGACGATACGGAACGGGACGATGCCCCATTAGGCCCGCGGACAATGGCGACATCGTCTTCTTTAATTCTCGCGGCTCTTCAAAACGCTTAGCCCGCGCCATCGACATAACCGTTGGCTGTTTGGCGAGGGGAATACGGTAAGTATAATGTTCCGCCGGCCTTGATACAGCCGTAGGAGGTCGTTAAGTAACGCCGCGGTGGCGGAGCTTTAAGGTTTGTCATGTAAATCGTAATCCCGCCATCGAGGGTCGAAGGACGGGGTGGCGAGAACGCTTGCCACTGTCCTCCTCCCTTCCTCTCTCTCTCCTTCGCTCTCGTTCTCTCTCCTTTTTGCTCCGCGTTCTCCTTTCCCCCCTTTTTTTCTCCTACCCGATGCCCCAACTCCCGCAGCCATTATCATCGAAAGCGGATTCGCAGTACTTCGGCAACTTTCAGCGAAGAATTTATTATAATCGCATTCAGGAGCGTCTTATGGCAACGACTGCAAAGTAGCTATCCGAAGACGGGGACGCCGGCGCGGGGCGGGAGCTGATTGAAACTCTGAAACATTTGCTCCGCTGGGTAACTTAGCAGCCAATCGTCGCAGATAAGTCGGTTTCCCCCGGTTAACGGTTTCCTTAATTAACCGCCTACCGTCTCGCGGTCCACGTTGCCCGCGACGACGACGACGACGACGGATATCGAGAAGTTTTCTTCCTCCCCCCCGCGTCGGCACGCTTTACACCCGAACCCGCCGCTCTATTAATTCACCATTATCGCGAAAGTATAGCAACAATCCGCGCGGCCGAGTTAATAGCTTCTTGCCCGTTCTTCGCCGCCGCTTAATTGCCAGCCCCCGCGCAGCACGTGAATTCGCCGCGATTCCTTCGCCCCCGAAGATAAATACCTGGTTATGTAATTAAGATCGTAACGATGAGAGCCTGTTATTTCAAGCGGCGCGCCGCCCCGGCGATCCACTTTCTGCGAGGAAGTTTCACGCGACTGCGATAGGCTAAGAACGATCGACGATACCTGTACCCGGCATTGGCGTTCCGGATCTTTCGCAATTGACGCGCGCTTTGATCGCGAAAAGAGAATTTTATATTTAATACTCGTCTGTTATCGTTGAGCTGAATTTATAGACGATTCCGCTGCGGTGGTTCTTCGTAGACGTCGAGGTAACGTGGTTCTACCTTGAGTATATTCGGTGCTTGAGATTTATTTCTCCTTTTCAGTCCATTTTAGTCGAATTCGGTGTACGTTGTGTTTGAAGGTAAATGAAAATATCGTAGAGAGCCTAGTTGCAAGGTACTTCTTCGCGTTCACAAAATTTCATAAAGGACGCAGTTTCTTGGACGCAATTGCAATTTTTGAAGCTTTGAAATGAGAATATTCCTTAAAGAAGTCTTCCCCGAGGGAGAACGTCGAAAATGAAAGATGTATGATACGTTGCCATTGAATTACTCGGTAAAAGCGTCTACTTCAACATTTTCGCCGGAGAGTAAAACACTCGAGCCGCACTTTTGCAAACGATGATCTCGAAGGGATAATCTTCACTGTCTAAGACTCGCGAAGTGGATTTAATAATCCCTTTCAGCTCTTTCTCTCGAGTAGGATAACATTTTCCGTCTTCGTTGCTACTCCAATTTGTTGCTAACGTTATCTTTTAATTCC